GCTCTTTCGCACAAAGACAAAAGTATACTAGGCCAAATTTCGCAACTCGGAATCGGTTTTTTTCGCTGTAGGCTGTAACGTAAGTTTCCTTAACGGGAAAGGGATAGTTGCAGCGGGCTCGCTTAACGAAACACAGCTATGAGGCCCCTTATAATCCGATTACTCATATAACATGGCGCTATTTCCAACAACCAACCAAACCATTATTTCTACTTTTTAAGGTAACGTAAAGAAAGAATATGATATTATTCGACTCGGAATAAGGAAATCCCTAGAAAAACCTCGATGAGTTTTAAGCCTTAGGCCTGATACCTCTGGCCTTCGGATCGCTTGCAGTAATAATATTATTTCCTACAACTTAGCTTTGGCCAGACGATGCTAAATAGTAATATGTGTAAAAGTATACGTAAAATGTTACTTAATTTCGCCAACATTCTCGAAATTAAACTTTACAATTAAGCTACTTACTCCATTGGATTGTCGGTCCTTGTTTGTCAACACCTCCATAACTCAGTCACATTCTCAGGTAGAAATAAACTAAAGAGATAAGCGGCTACAAACACTTCAGTTTTTTTTCCGCAGAATAAAACACTTGCGTTGCATGTACATGCAAAACTATCGCTACTCGTTATTCTATAGATTTTCTGTGTTAGTGATTTCTGGGAGCTGTTGTTTCTACATAATCTATAGGCCAATGCTAAATGTTTCACTTGTAGCAAATACACCAAAGCCTCTAAAAAGTCCATTGTACTACATGTAAAGCTACGTACAGATGTTGATAACTTCTATAATACTGTGTAGTGCAATATATTAGATTTCATTGTAGTTTCTGTCCTTCACAATCGAAATGACCATTTCACAGTAGCCTACTTTTCCGGTAAAACATTTTTTAACAAAAGTAACGAACAACAGACTTTCAGCCATGCCAGATTTACTGAAAGTACTTAGCGTGCTGGGACCTGTTTCTTCGCTGAGAAATGTTCTACTCGTCTGACCCGCTCGATAATGGTCAATTATGGCAAAAAACTAAACATTGTCAATGTAGTGCGTCATCGGCAAGCTAAAGAGTGACCCGGGTACGTGTAGTTTAAACGAAGGATTTGTGACAGATTGACAAGGAACGTTTGTTGCATGAACTTCTGGAAGACAAAGGTCACGAGTGTCATCTGACAGTTTCTGTTTCCAGCCGTAATTTCTTATTGATCGGGCTTAGGTTGAACCGAGTAAACTCACATGCTATACAAAGAATAAATCCTAGACGTTTTTGCGCAGGGTGAAACTATTCTCGTTCACAAAAGCCTGACGTAACGCCGTATTCGATAGATAGTTTCTGATCAGATTCGAGGGAAGTAACGTCCTAACATGGTTAGTGGTGCCCACGCGGCTGTCAAGAAGTTTTGAGCTACGAATGATTTCGTATATGGGTATATACCGATACGATAATCACATGTATAGTAATAACGTAATTGAATGAAACGAAATAGAAAAGTGTGGCCTCGTTTTAAATCGAACTAAAATACGAGCTAAAAACGAAGACGACTTCTAATTTAGCGGAGCCGTTGTCAATTTAATCCTTTTATGTCTGTAAAAAGATCTAAAATGTTCCTCTTCTATCTTATTCGAACGATCTTCACGGATGACAATGTCACTAAGCACCATAGGAGCCAGCACAATGGCATTCGAGTACGAGGAATACAGGAGTAAGCAACCTGACCAAGGAAACACAGTTCAAATCTTCGCCTCTTTCTTAAAGAGTTTGACCGGCAAATGTGTCTATCAATATCTATATATTATAAAAGTCTGTATTAACACACGATAAGTATGTTTAAATAATAACAAGTTAAGGAATTAGACCCGTACTAAAACCAAATAGGAAAAAGGTGTTAGAAATGTGTTAGTCTAACTTGACCACGAAATTAACGTTATAACGGCCAGCGTGCTGCAGTAGATATCATAGTATAATATTGTTGTTTGTCAGTTAATTATTTCCCATTGATACGAGGTTTTTATAGGGGTCAGGCACAGTAGTAGCGGGTTGCATTGCCGCATTCCCTAGGGCAACAACTTGCTTTAATGATAACTTCCACATTTCTGTTGTACGAGCGTAAGGGAACCACAAAATAGGCCGCAAAATATATAATAAGTTTGCATGGGTCATTCTATACAATGACGTGGCCCATATCAGACACAGCACGCAACAAACAACCGATAAGGAAACGAGTCCATTATAGCAATCTGTTATTTTACAACGTACCGAAAAACCTAAACCAGCTCAACTTAGCTGTTTGAAGTAAAAACAACGAGTATCTATAAGTAGCCTATTTGATCGGCAGTCAAGTATAGAATTAGTATTTAGCATAACTGATTTTTGAAATACTACAATATGCCAATTGAATCGGCTGCTAAACTTGTACGGATAAACCTGATTCATGAGTTAACTGAAAATACTACGGGTCTTGGAGACATTGGAGAGAGTTAACTTTTTATTGATATAAATTATGTAGCATTCATGTATCGTTAAAAGAACGCAGGACCGCAACAAACATCCATTTGAGTCCGAAAAAGCACACGATCATTTGAAAGTAACTTCTAGAGTAACGCTCCACGACAGTACAATGGCAGCATAATTGCCTACTAAATTTAAGGGCACGTAAGTTGGTCCGGGTTCGAAGCCGGGCGAATTCGTGCTGAAGGCTGGCCATGTGAAGCAGAGTCTCGTGTTTACCGAAATAATTCCATTCAATTCAAGCCCATCATGGACGAAGCAAGCGGGCACAACTAACTTAACTAAAAGAGAAACCAAGTTAGCGGACAAACGAAGCGCCTGAAACTATTGTTGCTTATCGAAGCCTTTGCCATCCCGTCACATATTTTTATTTACCGGAAAATTTGCTCAATGAGGTTTCACGGTGACCTCACTCGTCTGACTAATGTTTGGCACATGATTCCATGATAGAAGATTGTGCCTTGTAAGCGGCGAAAAGCACTCTGGAAGTGTGCATTCTAATGACTATTGAAATTAGAATATGCTATTTCTGTGACTGGCGATGAAAAAACTCAGGTCATGATGGTCATACCAATGGTGTTCAAAAGGGGAGATTAGGGAGACTTCTTTCCAGTAAAGTAAAACGGTAAGTGGTAATTGTTCTCTCATTGTTTTTCCTCAGTCTTACTCTCATCATTTTTTTTCGTTAATTTTTCATAGGGATTCCCGCAAACTTACGCTAGATACGCTCATGCTTTTTACCAGCATTCAAGTCCGTATCAACACAAACGTCCGTAAAATGTCGGAATAAACAGCAATAAAAACGAGTAAATTACCTAATACGGGCTAAGTAGTCAACTGCTTGGCCCATGGTTTATACTGATGAGTTGAAACTGAAATTGCACCGATATAGTACAGAATCGTGGAAAGTGCGATACGAGGGGAAGGAGCACCACGGTATTTCCCAATAACCCTTCTTCATTGAAGTCACTTTCAAAATGACAACCGAATTTATTATCATTAAATTCATCAGTACTTCATCAGGCATTTGCTACCAACTCAAGGTCAAAAATACAGATCTCCTATATACTATGCTTGGTGAAATTAAATATGGCGCAAATCGTCTAATTACTCTTAACACGTTAATCGCGACTCCGTTTTCTTTCGGGTCTGCCTGTATCTCTCCTGGCGATTCCCGAACACATCGGAGCGACATTTGTATGTTAGCTAACTTCTCTTGGTGCCACACGCGATTCAGTGATCAATCACAGACCCAACAGCTACTATGTTTTCGTCAAAGCACCCAACAACTTACTACTATCTTGCTTATGTAGTTATATCTATAGCGGATTGATGGTACCTTGTACCATTTCAGTAGATCAAACGCTGAACCTGGCCGTCTGCGTGATAAGTTAGATGCGTCCACAACAAACAGTTGCCTTCTTAATACGACATCACTGAAAATGAGGATTTCGGCATCAGCTATTCGTACGGCTATCGCAACGACCGTTTCTTATTCAATGTAGCTCATTAGCTGATAATAATAACAATAACAATAATAATAATAGAAAAACGTAACCAGCTTTCAAAGAACGACTGTCAGATGCCATGCGTCCTGTGCCGAAGTTAAACGGCATTTAGTCGTCATCGCGTTCATAGCGACGGCGAAATAGGTCAGATCCAGCTGGCTCGACGAGGTATAACAACCCTTTCCCCTCAATATAGTGAAGCGAATGGCTGTTTCAAGCGATATAGATGTTCATTATATATATATATATATATATATATATATATATATATATATATACACACCTAATAATTGTTCTTTTCGTGCACTTGTTGATGAGCGTCGGACTCTACAATGTCGAAAGTCGTAATAATCGTCAAACAACCTTCCGAAGCTTCCGTGAAGACACATTCTAATACTAGACTGCTCCTGGAACGGCGTATGATATCAGAAAGAATTACTGCATAGGCCAGCTGTAGGTCGGGTCTGTTAAGGAACACAAGCCTATGAGCTCGGATTATGTAATAAGGCTTCGAGTAATCGAAGGTTGTCGAGGCATCGAGGTGTTGCAGTCTAACTGCACTACAACAGTCTAAGAATAAACAAATTGAACTTTATGCATGGCGGACTTATATTTGGCCGCCTCGAATGAATGCCTTAGCTTCTGAAATTTCCCTTTAAATAGAAATAGGACTCACCTTTTTTTATTTAGTTACTGTTTCAATCGAATATGGTTGGAAATCTGTTTTTAGTAGTCACGCCATGTAGTATTGCGGTACGTAAGAGTGGTGTTTCAAAAACGTACGTTAACGAACCAGTCATATTTAACGCTCGGATGTCATTTACTTCCGTCGGGAAAAGTGTGTTTATTGGGTTGTCTACCTGGTATTGCAACAGTCAGAACCCTTGGAGGAATTACTCGAACGGATGCGAAAATAATAACATTATAATATTCCCTTTGCTTGTTGATACTGCATTTATTTAAAATTTGATTTATTTATTACGAACTTTAGCTTGAAACGAGCTAAAAGAAAGTACAGTGGTCTTTTTCTCGTTCTCGTTGGACGATAAGCAACAAAAGAATATCAATGTATGAAAAAATTGATATCGATAGATTTGGGAGAGTTATCGAATAGAAATGGTCTTTCAAAAAGCAAAATAAACGTGGATGTCATATAAGAATTTTTCCAACGTGTACTAATTAGTCATCCGTTAAGTCCCACCACTGCTGGGTATGTGCCACCGTAGTACAGGGCCTCATTTGGCATTTGCAGATTCACCTCCATCGTCCGTCCCCTGTTTTAGACTGGTGCCAGTTGAACGACTTTTGACTGCTGAACAATTATTACACGGCTTTTACGTCAATATGAGCTAGACTTTATTTCGAGACTAGATATTCCCTTCATTACGGTCCTGGCCGCAACTTTCTTCCTCTCTAGTCAGCATACGGGTTATTATCAACGAGCCTTCCTTATTATTGTTCTCCATCATTCTATCGTATCTTGTTATTATATTTTATTAATGTTATTATCATTTCATAATATTCATGTTATTAGCATTACTATCATCCAGAATTACGGTTTAACCATCGTCAGCCGCTGTTCCAGTGACATGATTCAGATTTGGTCGACTTGGGCATGGCGTGCTTTTCATAAACGGACCCTCTTTTTCTCCTCATTTGTCCTTTTACTTTGTTATTATTACGAATCTGGTTTGTTTTCTGACCCCTCGTTTCCTTGTTTATTTCAAACGCTGCATGCATATGCTATTTTTAGCTCGTTATGATCATCACTCGACAACATATTTACCATAAGCCCAAATCCCCCAGGCTCTTTTAACTTCACACCGCAGCGCTAGTGAAATCAGAACCCAAAATGGCGTAGATGAGAGGGCTACTATAGTTGGCCGTATTATTCCTGCAAATCCCTTCCACATACACGACATGTTTAGCTTCACCGTTATCTTCCCGTTATCTATTAGCCGGCGGAAACTACCCTTTTCGTCAAGTAACTCTTCCTTAATTCGTTCCATATGTTTGGTAACTTCCGGTCCCGCCTCGATTCTTTCATCATCTCCCGTAGTGCATTGTCCGCTTTATTGACATGGCCTGCTCAATCAAACAAGAACACGTAAAGTCTCGCCGCAATTGTTTATACGCAGGTTTGTTTCTATGTTGACAACACACAACTCTGGCGTACCTTATTTTCACAATCAGCTTCATCAAGTGCTTCTTTTTTTTTCGTAGATGCACACGCTCACGTTTTGTGTCAACCTTCCGTGCAGACGCGTCCTAGTACTCGATCATCAGCTGCGTCACAATGGCAAATCTTACCCCAAATCCTTTTCGCTTATATATCCTTTGCTAACTCAAGTTCTGCTTTCATTTTTGTTTAGTTCATTCTTTATCCTCATCTTTATTATATTTAACCATTAGCGTAATAATTCCCATAATAACTCGCTGGTGTCTATTCACAGGTGTCTCGCGATTTCCCTCCCATGCTGTTCCACGAGTTTTTCTTCTTTTCCACAATCTGTCCACCTTCCGACCACTTCTGCTGGTTCATAATTTATTTTGTTTGTTTAACTTAGTTTTTTTGACACGGCGATATGATTACTATTTTTTTAATCATTTACCTTTGTGGATCACTTCTACATTATTATTATTATTACATTTTTTGAAACTCAGTCCGCTTGCGTTCTCGCTCACTCGTAACCTCTTACATATTTATGTATCTACTCTAATAGAATTTGTGTTTGTGATTCTTCATTTTAATTCTTTATTCATGAATCTCTGCTGTGACAGTGAGTTCTCCTCTAGCCATAATCTTTTTAACCGCAATCGGCATTCCTGCTTTACATTTCCTATCTGCAAGGCCCGCTACCGCAATACGACCTGGCTTTAATATCAGCCTCTTTTTCGACCTGTATTGGACTCATCCGCTTTCCCTGTCAAGCGTCTCAATCCCTCGGCTTTCCTATGGTCCTCCCGTCTCCCCTATATATAATGTCCTCGCTTCGTATTATCAACGTTCTCCAGCCAACAGCCTTCATGTCTGCCTCCCGAGCCTCACTGTCAATGAACTAATTAATGTAATTACTGAATTATTATTATCAATGAATGCGTGAAGGAGTGCTCCGGTGCTTCGATGATTGAACGAATGGCTCTTTACCATCCTATCATTACTATTAATATGGTAATCTCCGACATCGCATTCGCTAGCTATCATCAGCATTATCATTTTGTTGTCGACAATAAACAGACGAATTTTTTTTGTGACAATCATCACGACCACAGGTTGAAAAAGTGGAAATCTGTATATTAAATAGAAACCGACTTGCTATTATTAGCAGTATTATATTAGCTATACGGGACATAGAATAGGTGGTAATATTTTATGCGGACGTTTTAGGAACGTTTGGCGTCGAGAAACGTTTGTTTAACGGGTAAAATGTTTAGATCACTCGCTTCTAGGTAGGTAGGTAGGTAAGTAAGTAAGAATTGCTGCTTAGTGGTCTTCTTCCTTAGCATCTGTTTCATGCTCTAAGAAAAAGGTTGGAAAGTTCGATGATAGATAGAAAAGTGACGAATGCCATAATGTGTAATGAGACGTGGAGATATCGCCGAAGGTCGGGACCAACAACAGCGCTTGCGTTGGTACCCTTCAGTATCCCCGTTCTATCGTAATAGTTAGTTTTATCCTGTGTTTCTGTCTCTACAAATTGAGAATAGAGGGTCCTGCAAATCGGACCTGGCCCGGCGTTGCACTCCCGGCAGCAGTTAATGGAATGACCCCCGCTACGCCTGTAAGTAACGCAAAAGCAGATACTTTTATAAGATATGGTAGTCATCCGCGACGCTACACAGAGCGAAAACATGGGTAAAGGTTGGTTTCAATAAACTACAGTTATCTTACGCACCCAGTTATAAAAGCAATAATCACCATCATCATCATCGGATAACAATCAACAAACCACAGCAATCTTACGTTTTCCATTTAGTTTTCTAGTCTAACATCACATCATACCCACCGTATTGGGCGTTTGCAGGCGTCATAATTGGCACGGACGTTGGGCAGGTTGTCGGTGGCAGGGCACGACCCGACGCCGATGCTCCTCCGGGCGAATAAGCCGGAGGGCCATTTGGCCCCAAAGCAGCAGTGCTCGTACCCGGTGCAGGTGCATACGACAGCGTGTAATACTGGCCCGTCGGTCGGAGTGCGCTGTAACAATAGATCGGCCCCGCCGGGGGCCACACCGACTGGCCGTACTGGGCGCACATTGGAGGGGCAATCACAATCTGTTGGCCGGGAGTAGCAGGTACTGCATGCGCGTGAGCCGCTGACGCATGGGCGGTGGGCCCGGGACCTCCTGCCGGACCAGTAACCGCGAGGCCGATGGGTGTCGCTGCGGTTGCTGCGCCTCCGCTGGAAGCCGTCCCCTGCGGCAGGGGTGTAGGCAAGAGGCACTGTCCAGGCGTCGCCGCTCGCATAGGAGCACCTGGTGGAGGGGGCGGTGACATCACCTGTGCGCCATTCATTTGATGATTGATGTGGTGATGGCCTGAATGCGCTGCAGCTGGATGCGGGTGGCCCATAGCTGCCGGTACCCCCTGCACACTTTGTACATTCGGCACAGCCTGCAGTGCTTGAACAGTGTGCCCGGGTGGCAAAGGTAACACCTGCCCATTCGGTCCAAGTGCTAGCATTGGTGGTGAGACGCCTGGAGGAACCAGCGGCATACTCACTGAGCCAAGTAATGGAACAACGCTGCCATGCTCACCCGGCACTCCGTGTTGACCCATTTGGGCCATCTGACTCATCTGGCCAACTGGAGCAACCTGGGCGATCTGTGTTGGTTGCAGTTGGGCTCCTCCGTGGCTCCCAGGCGGCATCGAAACTGGCTGCCAAACCGCGCAATGATTCGACGGAACATAGTACATGGTGGGTGCTGGAGCCGCAGCAGTGTACTGCTGTTGATGGTTGAGATACGTGGCGATGCCCTGACTAGTCGTAAGTTGGTTGACGTAGGGTGGTACGTGTACCCATTGCTCGGTAACGCCATGTGGCGGGCCGTTCATATCAGCCGCTACCGGCTGGACAGCAAAAAGCTGTCCTTGTGTATGGGCTGCGGCAGCTGCAGCAGCATGCGCCGCTGCCGCAGCCGCATGTGGATGTCCTCCACCGTGCACATATCCATGAAGCATCTTATCGGGTGTGTGGCCATCCATCGTTCGGTAATCCACCAGACCTGCGTGACCCTGGCTTCCCTGAGGACTCTGGTGCTGTTTCCAATCTGGTGGCGATCGGTTATCTTTGAAAGTTTGTGCGTCTCGCTGATTGTAGTTTCTTCCGCCACCGCCGCTAGCACCTCCACCACCTCCGCTGCCAGCAGCACCTTGCCGAAATGGCATATGAGCTCCTCCACCACCTGAATGGGGTCCTCCACTTCCGTGAACTATCCCGCCATGAGCGCTTGTCTGTATGCCAGCATGGCCGTAAGCCCCGTGAGCAACACCTCCGCCGCCAAAGTGCTGCTGGTGCTGTTGCGAATGATGCTGCTGCCCGCTTCCCGAAACGTGATGATGATTGTTATGATGATATCCCTGCGATCCACCATGATGTCGACCCGATCCACCGCTGACTGCCGGCCCATTGTGAGTCTGGGCTCCGCCTCCTCCAACGCCCTGCGAGTGCGGAGCGTGCACCAGGTGCGTGTGATGATGATGATGATGATGTTGCTGGTCGTCCCCTCGGTGGCATTTATTACTGTTGTTGTTCGAAGAACTACTATTGTTATATTGCTGTTGTGGCTGTGGGTGATCCCGCGTCCGGCTTGGCTGACTACGCACTTCGTCTTTTTTCACCTCCTATTGAATACACGAAACGGAACAAAGAAGCCAGAAAGTAAAATCAAGAGAACCGAATTTTTAAGTTTAACATCACGCTCCAGTATATACGTTATGTAGTACCTGGATGTTGTACCTGGATGTATGTTGATTTTCTTTGTATTTGTAAAAAATATTTCTCGATCACAGGTTATACCGTGGTCATGGAAAGTTCGTTGAGAGTTTAAATAGGATCATCTTATAGTAAAACGTCCTTCCTAAACACAAATTCTAATCCTATGAAAGGTTGTGTTATAATCTTTAGTAAATACAGCCACGTCTACTACTGAACCATGTGATCTCAATTTGTCTTTATCACTCACCTGTACAGCCATGTTTTGCATAGAAACAGACAGTTGATCCGCCGGACTAATATTCGTACTGCTTTCACTGCGCCGCTGTTGTTGCTGCGGCGGCAACTGTTGCGTTTGTTGCAGCGGTTGTCGCCCACTTTCACTGTCACTAGGAGCGGACCTCTTGGTCGTGTCCTCCTCGATCTCCTTAGCCTTCTCTGCTGTATCGCTGCCACCTTCGACGGCAATGTTCAGTCCGTTGTTGTCTTTTTCCGACGAAGGGCGTACCGTTGCACTCGTGCTTGTACTCGATGGGCTTGGATTGTCCGGGTCACTACCGCCATCATGGACGCTGATACCGATACTGGTGATGCTTTCGCTGGTGTCGTTTACGACGGCGGGCATTGATGAAACGACTACTGAAACAACTTCCGGCGTCGTTCTGGCGGCTGCTCCCGAGATAACGAGCTCGCCCGAAACAACACCAGGGGCAACACCTTCAGCGGGTATCACAACTCCACGTGGTGACGGCAAGAGCGATTGGACAGGATCGACCGGCGATGTACTCGTTGATAAAGCCGTTGCCCGGTCGTCGAGCGAGCCGCCTTTGAAAATGCGTTCTCTATCAGAGATTAAAAAAACGGCAAATATTAAAAAACGATCATCTAAACAGTTAGGTTAGGTTCTATTAGCTTGAGGGGTGTCATCAAAAATAGCTTTCTTAGTTGATCGTAATAGGAACAACAACTACAGTGAGGGCTTCAGCGGACCCTTTTCTCTTAAAACAATAGTTCCGGATAAATGCATGATCCTACAGATTCTGTACTCGTCACATAGAGCGTTATGCACTAAATAGTTATATGTAAAGCTCACATAGTATTTGATTTTGTTGATTGACATTCTCCATTGTGCCGTCTAAACGGACCACCAATGGTCAGACCAGAAACCGAAGCTCCCGCTCCAAACTTCAAACATCGATGATTGCCTTTATGAGATACACGCAAGCTATTTACGAGTTGTTTACCTGTGAACTCTTTAACTAACGTACCTGACTAGATTGTAATGTTCTTCCCGTTCCTCCATTGAGCGACACCTTCGGCCCTCGAGACCATGGAAGGCTTTGTTACCGCATCCGTCCGACAGCCAACAAGTCCTGCCGGACGTGTTGTCCTTATCGTCCTTTTCTTTCGAATTGTCCCGCTTTAGTATGTTAAGCTTTTTCACCGACAGCATGGCGGGATCACTGGTCCAATGCGGCTGGCAGGAGGCCGACGGACGGCTATCAGGCCCACCGGTTCGTCCGGTCGAGTACAGCTCGAGTGGCGGACTGTTGAGGTACTCCTGAAAGCGTCGTTCAGGCACGCGACTATGCTTCGTCTTCGAGACAATAACGGACTGACCGCTCGTGTCGACATTGTGGTCCAAACCTGTATTTTGAAGCGTACGGGTGTATAATGTGAACAGAGGGAAGTTAGCGATAGATCGAGTGCGAGAGAGAAAAAGTAGTTAAAAATGTAATAGCAAAACACGTGCTACATACAGCGGTGTCAAATTATGAACATTAGACATTAACGACTTGATGCTCAGTTTGTAAGATCTGTAAATAATAGTTATATTTATAAATCAAGGGGGAATTTGCTAGGGCAAAAGTTACTGGTGAAATTATGAAAGACTTGAGCTTTACAATTTTTTAGTAAACTCACACAAAAAAATCTCGAATTTGTTTTCTGATGATAACGTTTCCTACCCAAAGAGACTCAATCATTGCTTAGATGTAATGATACACTACTAACAACAGTTAGTACATTCGCGGGGGGCTAGATGTAGCAGAATCGCAGGGTTGTGCCAATGAAAAGACAACGCATTTTAAATCGAATCAATAGCTCACCAAAGAAAGCTGCGCATCGATGCACAATCATTCGGTGATAGGAGGTCATTGGGGAAAACTTGTGTGAGGTCCGACCCTGGTCGTTCAGTAGCGCGATAAGGTCCTGCTCAAGTCGTAACATCATACTACGTTCTTTGTGGTTTTTATGTAACGTCTCGACGATAAATGCCTCCAGATCGGTGCCTGTGCTGTCTGTGAATGACGCCGTATCGGTGGAGGAGTCCCGCGACAGCGGCCAGGTCGAAGATGACTCCACGGAGCTCGAACCCTGTGAGCCTCCGGACCAGGTGGTCAGATAACCCATGTGAAATTTGTGGCGTCGCTGATGCGCGCTGTTTACACTCTGGTTGTTTACATTAAAGCGCAGATGAAAAAAGAACTTTATTATATATTCAAATGTCAATTAAATGTCTTTTGTCTGATACTATACATTGTTACAGATACCAAAAGAAGTCATGTGACATCTTAGAACGAAAAAACAGAGTGAAGGTACACATCTCAAGTCAGTTATTTAGCCATTAACAACGTATTTATGTTTAATATCAACATTTTAAATGCCAATCCGTATTAGTTTGAGAAGAAGTTTAACTGGTTGACTACACTTTGCGCTAAAAGACAATGATAGCAGACGAGAAAATTGTAAAGAGCTGTTTGGCTGTCGCCATGACAACCATTGTTTTTTCCGGCACAGGCTTTTCTAGTAAGGCCGCTTTTCTACAATTTAGTACGATCTATTGTATAGTCCTGTTGCTCAAGAACTAGACCAATAATAAAATGGCGATGGAAATTCCACTGATCATTCTACATGTTGCTGTTGTTGAGTTGGCCAATTTGCAACATCGTAGCATTGAAAATAACTGCACGCACTTTATTTCCATGTATTGAAGATCTCTTTAGACTATTAATTGTTACGTTGCCAACTAGCGTGGCTCCAGGCAACATGCAGAACCCGACAGTCGTACCTATCATTTGAGTTTTACAGATTCGAACGCGTATGTCTGTATGCACCCAAAACTTACCGCCATTTCGACGATATGTAACGCTAGTTCAGATCCGCTTAGAATCTATGAAATCACATTTAACTCGAGATTTCCTTCTGCTGCTGTCGACACCGTCGTTAACCTTTGACCAATATAAGTCATAACCTAGTCTTTAAGAGGTAATCTCTCAATGGCCTTTTTGCGTCGTCTTGTCCTATAAATGCATTAGAAAACAGCATCTATATTTTGAGCGTCGATCAGTTTTGTCGTCGTATTCATCCGTACGCTCAGACACAAACGCAAGGCCGAGCAAGCACAGAAGTGTCGCTGTGCATCGCACAGTACCGAGTGTTCAGACCCAGAGCGTTTCAGATACAACAAACTCCATAATATTACTGCTGCTATGGCAGACACGATCGATCTGTGCTAAAAAATAAAAATTTCCGCGCGTGTAGGCACTGCACAGTTATCAACATGTGTGGTCTAATGTAACTTAAATTATAAGGCGCAGGATCGATGCACTGGTCGCACCTGGTCAGGCCCGAGATAAGCGAACTGTCAAATGAAACAATAACGCTGGCAACGGCGTTTCTGCTTCTAGAGAAATAGCATAGCGCCGCATCTAGTGTGTATTGATTCGACACTGACCACATGATATCTATGAACCAATATGTAGAGAAGTCTATGTGCACCTCAAGTTATAACACAATTGCACGTGACGACGGCTTTCTTCTTTTTCCAAGGCGGCACCCATTAGTGGTTATGCTATTGTCGTCTATGCAAGATTTTCATGGTTTTCTCCTTTATTTTGCTACGTAAGCAATACAATGAATTCTCGTATGCGGTTTATGTTTGTTGATCAAATTCATGGTGCAGACGAAGGGAAGAGCTTCAGTGGAAACAGGCTGAACTAAAGGTATAATCGTTCTTTTTTTCGTACCCCGTTGCGGTGTTGCTACATGTTTCTCGCAACCTGTTTAAAGTCGGTAACACTAAACGAGTTCGAACGTATTATACATGTAAGCTCGAAATTTCCGTATGTAAGTGTCCGCCGATAGCTCAGTGTACCCCCGAAACCTAAAAGCAAACATACCATCGACTTTATAGATGAAGATGCTGAGTTGTAATTCAAACTACTCTTGCGCGCCAGTCCCTTCAGTCGGTCGATACCGAATCGATTTAGGACGTATTTCGTACGCGTGGCTCATTTTACGGCTCATTGTGTATCATACTTGCAGGTAATTTTTGATCAGTCCCAATAAGGAAAACAAGATCTGGTTCACAGTTCAAGCAAGCTTATTTTAAATAGAGAAATTTTCTATTTGAACCAATCGGAAAATGCACCCCTCGTATCATTACTATCCTAGAGTTTTCCCACACAAACTAACAGCGCATCCAAGCACGATACCGCCAACAGCGCGTTATAACGATACCTTGATTATATATGTACCAATATATTAACTAATTACTTCGATTTACTACGCCAACTGTGAAACATTTCTAATACTGGTTTCTTTTCAAAACGTTCCATACATCACGTTTCCGTTACCTTGTGACTACAAAGAAAAATTCGAAAATCTGCCACGTCTGTATACAAATTAACGGCACTGTCTGGGCCCAGCAGTGACACTTCCACAGAATAACCATGTATCGGCTACGTGGTTGCGTCTAGGAAAGTTTAATCAAGGGCCTGCGAAGGAGCGCCTGTACTGGTTTCGTCGTGCGTCTATGCTATAGGACCGGCCCGGGGAAGACCCCGGCGCTTACCCTGCGCAATTGGTCACACATTTTATTTACCCTCACATATAAATGCGTGTACGAGAGTGGATTCACGAGAAGTCGACCTTGTTATATGAACGAGACGGCGAGAAAGAGAAAGAAGACGATTCTGACTCTGCGGTTTCAGTATCAATTATAAACGGATAGGCTTTCCATTCTCAATGTCAGCGGTAAACCAGCCGTCCATGTCGCTCACATCAATATGGACCAGTTGGGGCTGACATGTAGATCGGCGACAAAGTCACTACGCCAGCCGACTACGCAAACGACGATGAGTAACCATGCAGCAGCGCATGGAGTACGGCCACGAACCAAGGTCGTAAAACCAGCAGTCAACGTAAGGCTGAGGATACTGAGCGGGGACCGCTAACCGCAACAGATTCGAACGATTCTCACTCCGGAGTAGGTAAGAGGTGAGCTTAACATTTAGGCCCAGATTAGGCGCTGGTGTTGATAAAGACATCATTCAGCGTACCAAAGCCTGTTACATATTCTAAAATGTAGCTGCTACTTGGGTGTTATCAATAGCCTCTTGATGGCGAAAATAATAGTTATTTTAGCCACTGACAATTTTTTTTCTCAGTAGTATATTTCACTATGCAGGTTCGTTATTTAATTAACGAGTAGTAACAATAATAAACTGATTGGCACGATTTATACTGAGCGAATTCAACTAGCTAGCTTGCTAAGGCAGAAATTATCTAGATCAAGCACAAGACAATGAGACGAAGAGAAACTATATTTCAATCGTCCCGTGTATTGTTGGGCTTGGAATAGTTTATATCGATTTCAACACACAGCGGACTAGCCAAAATGAACAAGGCGTATTGCCTCCAATCCTGAACACAGCTTCTGCCAAACTCTATGCATAAATCTATATAGATAACGTTTGAACACCTGTTCGCCAGTCTTCAACTGCGTTCTCAATTTAAGTAACTGATAAAATACGGATTCGCTTGGCCCTTGTTAGACATTTTGCTTCCTGCAACAACACAGGTAACCACAAAAAGAACACAAATATATATACATATGCGCTTTGAGTTGTCACCTCCGTTCGGTTAGTGTAATTCATCGCCCTTTTTTTGTTAACTTAGCCTGTACAGCGTAGGTGAGCAAGTTAGCTCCATAT